GCAAAAAAAAACAAAAAAAAAGTAGATAAAAATCACTTCATATCGCCTTATTTTTCGAGCTGGCCACTTCAACAACGCTTTCCATCAGCCCCCACCCCAATTTCTCTTAGATACGCCACTGACCGTAAATACAATTAATAAATACACTGCATACTGAGGGGTCAAAACTTTAAAATTGTGTACGTGCGCCCACACGCAGCTGTTATCAACGGCCATGGGTTCTTAATATAGAGTAGACTAGTCTTCAGTTTGTGTTGTACCAAATAATGCCATATCTTTCCTTTCGCGGTATAAATAACGAATATTAATAGTTTAATATTGGGCCTATACTGTACTGCAAATAACGCTAATTTAATGGAAATTCATTGCCGAACATTTCGATAGATGTTGGCTACTGATTTACCTTCCTCTATCAATATTATAACGCCTCACGTTGGTTAGTAATAACATGGTAATAATACTTAATAGCCGCGCACATATGGTCACTGAGATCATATCGCAAACTTTAACTCGAGGAAACAGCAATATCGAATATCCCTCTATGCATTACTTTTTTTATGAGCTTAAATAAACAAATATATCGTAATTTCACTTTTTGACAAAAATGCCTATTAAACGGGAAAATATCAAGGGACTAGCTAATATCCTACCCTCGATATTACCAGTATTTACAGTACTGTCAATTTCAGATCCCTCCCCAGGCTGTGGCAGGATGAAACGCTTTAGCCAAGGTCATGTTGCCCGCTGTGTATAGTAGATTCAATATGATGAAACTTGCGTTGGCCCGTGAAATGTTGACAAGTCAGAAACGCGGGGTTTTGCAACATACCGTATTTTCCTCCGTTAATCGTTCACAAGCCTTTACCGGACTAACGCCCGCTGCATCGGCTGGTGAATCCACCGCTCTCTGTGAGCGATAGACGACGTGGAGTGTCGGCGACAGTTTCTTGGTGGATTGTCATTAAAAACGATCCGTTGCGTGCGCATCATCGCGTTGCGTTCTCCTGTAGTATCGCGTCAGCCGAGGAACTCGGTGCAACAGTGTGCCCAAATTATTACTGTACCACTAAAACAAACAATTGTCCTATTTAACAGAATTCTTCTAGGTCTGCGTGCCTGTCAGTTTAATACATTAATCCTTAGTTACGGTATATTTACGCGAGCGCGATATTAGTTCACCTATTATAATTGTGAACCAATGGATCATTAAAATAGGCCTAAGTGTACTCAGTTCCAGCAGCCAACAATCGGACAAGTTGTCGGTGTCGATTCATCTCACCATTATTGATTCACATTTAATAAAAGATTTTGAATTTAATAATGTTTTTCGTACTCTTTTTCTGCTCGAAATTCTTCTTGGAATTAATATGGATTTTGTTTATTTTGTAGTGAAATTGACACTGCGACTTGAGCACCATTGGTGGAGATGTGCGCTTTATAAATCTTTAATATTATTATTATTATTATTATTATTATTATTATTATTATTATTATTATTATTATTATTATTATTATTATTATTATTATTATTATTATTATTATCTGCCACATATTCTGTGCATGTACATCTACATTAAGAAGTCGTCCATTTTGACCCCTGGACTAATATTCGGTAGTGTTCTAATTGTGCTTTTCATTACGTATAGGGCCTATTTATTTATTATTTATTTATTTTTAGGCCTATTTTAATATCGTTTTAGTAAAGCTCTGAGAGATTAAATTCAGTAAGCCTAGTATTGTATTGTTTTTTGGGGTTTTTTTTTTGTTTTGTTTTTTTGGCGTTTCTTCAAATGAAGCTTGTACTAGTATAGCAAACCTAAGTGCTTCAATTATACGTTTCCTGGTCAATTTTACTATCAATTACCGATTAGAGGTAGCAATGCCCAGTAATATTAATGTTGTTCAAAGTTCCTAGATGTAATTAAGCGAAGTTGTATAGTATTCCTCAAACACGATGATAGATTTGACAAGGAAGCTAACTAATGCTAACAGAAGGCAATGCTGCTAACTTCAATCTCTCGGTGTGTTCCGCACGCAACATTGAATCAGTCCCAGTTGTGTGGCTCACATCAACCAATCGAGTTAAATTCGCATCGGGAAATAGGCCTAGAAATTACTTTACAGCGCTGCTTAACGGTTTAATATCAGATTTAAAGAGTACGCGTTGATGGGTTACCAAGCCTGTTGCGTGTTGATTCTGCCGTCACTAATCACTCAGCCGAATGCTAATAATAAACTTAAGAATAAAGTAATGAATGAGCATTTGACCTACATATAGCCTACATACTTCAATATTAAGTTACATATATCATTACAAATATTTCATATTTTGAAAGTAATGTTATATTCATGTTAAAAGTACAGTCTAGGTTGAGATACAAGAATTCTATATTTGAATTGCATGGCTGTAAATAGAGAAATGCAGAATCAAAATTTCTCCAATAAATCATTTATTCTTATAATCTTTAAATTTAATTTATTTTTAAAAATCCAACGAAAATACTTGGTTCGTTCTGTATATCAAAAATTGTTAGCCTACTTGATTCTATCTCTGTAATTAAATGTTTTAAATAATTTATTGATTTGACTACTGCAGACGGTGCTATGTGCCATCTTTTGATAGCGTCTTTAGCAATAAATGAGCATAAACATCGAGTAATTATTAAGTTGTCAATCAGAATCGACGCCAGCTGGGGGGTTTCGTTATTTAAACAAAAAGGAAAAAATTATTTTTCACTAAAATAACATTATTACGTGCTAAACGTCTTAAAACAGCTTAAAATAGTCCATAGTGTTTTTCTGTTTGGGAAGAGGAATCTTAGAACTCCTAGACCAAACTCCGCTGGTCTTTAGGTAATTTTCACACTGTTGTCATGTTCGATGATGGCCATAAAATGTTGACACTGCGTTGCGTAGTTTCTTCCTTCCCTGATCCTTAGTCACGTGTACAGGCCTAATACATGCCAGGGCCCGGTTTGTCTTCATGGGCATCGGTCGTAAGCCGTCGTCTGTGTAAAAAAAACAAAACGGACAGTCTTTCTGGAGACTGCCTGTCGACAGAGTTCTGCTTTATGCGACAAAACAATCTTCCACGGGTAATAATTGCGATGTCATCGCTTGTCTGGAACGTGGTCTATGTCATCAGCCTCCAATATATTCATCCTCTGTTATCGATCAATCTATTGCAATCAATTGATCAGCTAAAGAAAAAAAAAATCTAAGCGTAGGACTATGACAATAATCAGCCCTTTGAATAGTTTTTTTTTTTTCATTTACGACTGGTCGATGTCCTATGGATTCAGTCCCTCTTGTAATTTATCTCAAGTCACTTCCCCCACCCACCCCTTTTGGCCAGAACGTATGGCTTTTAGAAATTTGGTCCATAGATGCAGCATTCAAAGGAGGCCGAATTCGCAGTGGTGGGGTGGGGAACCGTGTAACATCGCGTAACGCGTTGGGGTTTTCGAATAGGCCTATATAAACTTGTGAGTGGGGAACTTTTCACGATAGTATCCAGACTGGAACGTGAAGTTATCCACTTCTATTTTCGTTTTCACTCAAACTGTCATTTTTACGTAGGCTATTTCGCTTTTTTTCTTCTTTTTTTTTTTGACATTTCATGTGTTGGTACTATACTTCGTACGCAGAAACACGTACAACGGGCAATCTGCCAAACGACGCTTCTTTTTTGTACTTTCTACTCAGCTTTGAGAGGTTTTGACTTAAATGTTGAATTCTGATAGTACATTTCGGGCGTCTAGCATTAGTCAAATGTAAATCATTTAGTATGCCTCAATTATGTACAGTAATAAGCCAATTATTCAAATTTAGGTTGGTCTAACCATATATGGTAATAAGGCCTACATTAATATAATACTTATACTTTTTTTAGGTTAGTTACATTTTTAGAACTTACAATACTTTAAAACACCATCAGCGAACTTGTTGTTTATGTGTGAAGCATTTACACAAATTCGA